GGGAGTGGGAGGGGAAAGGGCTCTCTGGAGATGAATTCCAGATGAATCCATTGCTGATCAGGTGGAAAGAAGTGGCAGATGGGCTCAAGGCCAACACCTCTAGGAAGAAACAAGCCTTGCAAAGTACAAAGCTTTGCTCAAGGCAGACTGGTGGGAAAACTGCAGACAGAGTGTCGAATTAATTGCAGTACGCGAGACGGCGTGGGTTTGAGCCACATCTAAAGATAAACTACCTGAATGTGCAGCCAATTAAGATGAGAGAACTACTTCAGATATTTTTTAAAGCATTACAGGCTCGCCACCATCTCCAAGAGAGCTCTGTTTTTCCATGGATGTCCATACCACAGCCGGAAAGACTTATTTTGCGAACGGACCTAGCTGCAGGGAATTGCTCATTTTGAGGGAGGGCTGATGCCTTTCCAGAACGTGCAGATACTCAGGGTGGGCTCTGAACTAAGAGAGATGCCTCAGGTCCTGCTTACATCTCAGGATGCTGCGTCTTGCTGCATCTGGATCCTGTTCCCATTGGTGGTTCTTTGTTTTATTTATTTATTTGTTTATTAAAATTGTTTCAAGGCTGTTCATTAGCATCACGGTCTCTGCGCATCACATACATAATTTCTATGCCTGCAGAAAGATTTGGCAAGACCTTCCGAGAGCTGCAACATTTTCTTAAGCCCAAAGTGCTCACTTCCTGCCATCCCCCCAGGTTCTAGGGATGCTACAGTAGTAGGACTGTTAAGAGCTTCCCCATCTAAATCATCTGGTGAGACCTTTGCACCGATTATCTGCCCACATTTGGTTCAGTTACTTTTGCTTTCTCCTGCTATTTCTGTATTTTATTTTCATCTGAAATGCTTGCCTTGGGTGTGACTTTCCTTCAGCAGCCTGTGAACCTTTTGGCCCTAGTCTATAAACATGTGGACTGTGGCAATAAATTCTGGTATTCACCTAGCCACACATCCCCAAACCAAATGTAGGCCCTAAAAGCAATTCAGTTGTAACCCATATTTTTTGAGCTTGTAATGCATTTCACCAAGGAAAATAAATGTGCACATTTGAACAATGCGCATAAGAATCTGGAATTTTGAACAATGTGTGCAAATGTAGCCCCTCGCAAAGGTAGTTACACCTGTTTTTTGACTGCCCCAAATTTGTTACAACTGGGAACCAAAATTGATTCAATCAGCATTATTACCACTTGATGTACGGAAGATTTGCAAAACCGTTTGTTTGTTTGTTTGTTTGTTTGTTTGTTTGATTGTTAGAAAAGCCATCCGTTAGCATAATGCTGTCCAGGCAGCCAATTTTTAAAAGATTGTGGCACAAAAGTCCAGGCAACAAATCCAGACTGGCACTTGTTGGTTGCAGAAGCTTTTACCTGCTTTGCTGTCGAAATTAGCCGTGGTGCAACTCACTGTCTCCAGAAATCACATCCCTTATGCGCTCAGGTTTCTGGAAGGCCTGGGAAAAGCAACGTTGCAAAACCAAGTGGTGCAGAAGCACCACTTGGGACTGAAAAAGCATGCCATCCTATGGGCATTCCCCAGCACCATTACACCCACCCTGCAGCATGCGGCTCGGCTGTGAGACTGCGTCCACCCAGACTCAGCGACTGGGTATGGCTGGGATTAGTCAGCGAAGCAACCAAGAAGCCAGCGCTACCTCTGAAGAAATCCCTGCTTGAGAACCGTATGCCAAGGCACGTGGCATCCATGCCAATAGTGTGGGCGTGTTGACTACAATGCGCACTGCGGGAAGCTCTCTGCACTTACTCAGAGGTATCCTTTTCTCTCAAAATTAGTCAACATCTTCTAGAACAGAGTGCTGAGCTTTGAACTGTGTTTCGGGGGAAGCCCTCATGAGCTCATGTAATGTTGAGCTTTTTTCCCCACAATCCTGTTCATTCAAGTCTTCGAATCTCAAAAAACGTATGGTTTTATATTTCAACCACAGACCGGGGCTACCTCCAAGGGATCAAGTAGCTGGCTGAGGAATGCCTCCGAAAATATACCCGTTGAGTTGGAATTTAAACTAGGCTTAGCTGTCCTCTTTGGTTTTAAAGAGAGGGGAGGTGGGCAAAGGCTTTGAAAAGGATGGTCTTTCCGAATCGGACCTCTGCTCAAAACACGGACGCACACGGACAATGGGGCGTGTGGCTGGAACCTGGCTGGATTAGGGCTCAGCGCTTGAGCTTCAGACCAAGCTCTGCTCTGGGTAGCTCCCCAAGCTTGCCCAGCACTTCCAGTTGAGCTTAATGATAGATTTCTGGTTCCTAAAATAGTGCCTGGAAAGGAATGCTGCAAGCTTGCTGTGGGAGAGAGGTTTCTCAGAGTTTTTCCTTGAATACACCGGGGGGGGGGGGGGCACTGGACCGAAATATTCACACATTTGCACATGCAAATGTATAAATGCTCTGAAGCCTGTGCCTGGTGTCTTTAAAGGTGTCTCCTTGGGACTCCCCATTTGTAAAACGGGTGTGTGTCCAAAGCAAAGGAAGAGCTCCCTGGATTTCGTGAAAACCCCAGCAGAAATCTTGGTGGGGGCAACAAGAATGCGAAGGTCATGTGGGGCTCGCAGCCACTCCTCCAGGGGATCAGGCACAAATGAGCCCCCGGGCGTGGAGCGTTGCTTCAGCAGGTGCCCATGGGCATCAGGTTGGTGGGGCTCCATCCCTTGCAGGCTGTCCACCAGCACCCCCTCTGGTGCCGAGGATCCTGAGGGAAAGGTGGGTGGGCATGGATTGCCTGCTGGCTTCCGACTTCCCCACAGTTTTTCTGCATTCGGAAATGGCTGAAATGTTCTCCTGAGGTTTGTTTGCGAGCAGCAAGGCAGTTAAGCTAATCTATGTTTGCATTTTGGGCCCTGATCCCTTTCTGTTTCACTGCTCCACCACTGAAACACAGAGCACCTCCAGATGGAAGTCACTGGAAAGAGATTGGACATCTCTGCTCTCCCTGGTGGAGAAGCCCTCTAGTCCACTGGTTAATTCACAGAGAAGACGGAAAGGAGGTTGAGAATGCACCACATCCTGGGCCTAGCATTGCATGCATACAAGAATTGCTAAATCGGTTCGGTTGTCAGGCTGGTCATATCCAGAATAAGCCCATTGAAACCGGTAGCAGTTATGAAATTAAGAGCATGCGTGCAAACCTGCCTAGCCTTGTCTCCCTGCTTTCAGTGGATCTGCTCTGAGTACGACTCAAGCTGGGCCCAACCCGCGGTTTGCAGCCCATCATCTGCAACTTCAGGAATCGGAAAGCCCTACACTCGGCTCGGCAACGTGGACCTGCCTGCAACTGACTCTGCAGGAAGACATTTGGTTGATGGCATCAGCTCTTGAAGGGCCAAGGGGACCAGCAGGGACCCACCTACCACCTCTCTCTTGCCAGAGGCCATCTCAGCATGGCTGTTGCAGTGCCAAAGCTTGGCTTGAACGCCGGCCAGAATGGACCAGCGGAAAATGGTGCGCAGGTGCAGAATGCTAGGAGCCCCATCCGATGCACGTGGACTTGGAAGCCCACCTGTGTTCCATGCATACAAGGAAGGGCATCTGGGACTGCAGATGCAACTGAAATAGAGCATTTTCTGAGCTGCGTGTTCAGCAGTCTCTGGCCATTCACAATTCAGATCTCAGGGAGTGGACAAGGCAGAGAGAGAGGGAGAGAGGGGAGAGAGAGAGAATTCTGCCTTCTGGCTGAACAGGAACAGAAAAGGAAGGTTAAAAGAACCTGATAAATGGGGATTTCTGACACACAAACTCTTTCACCTGCCTCTCAGATATTAGCCACAAGTTTAGCTTGGATCAGCGTCCTGAAACCAGAGAATATTTTTAGACATTAATGATCTGCAGATATTTGCAAATGGCCAAAGGGGAACAAGATGCAAACTAAGGTGCAAATATAAAACGGCCAAACAACTCTTGCTTTTAGGTCCGTGAGGAAAACAAACATGCACAAATGGCACAAATTATGTTTCACTATATTTGGAAAAGTAACATGTTGTCCACCAGGAGCCATTTTGGGCTGGCTGGCTCCCCACCCAGATGAAATGCGGACCTCCTGCCTGAGCTGGAAGCCATCCAGCCATCTGAATTTATGGCAGACCACTGACCACCCCTTTCCTGGCAGGGCGGGCAGGGAAAGCGATGGTTTCTTCCCCTTGTTGCATTTGAAAGGATGCCAGATGCCTAATGCAATGTGGGCTAGGCGAGGCAGAGAATGGACAGAGGGGGAAGGGTGCTCCCATTGGCATGGGCACTGGGACGCAGCAGAGTGGATCTGTAGCCGGTGCGAGGCGAGTTGGAGCTGGAAGGAAGTGCTGAAGATCCTCCTCCTCACCACCCCATGGCCACTGTAGGGTGCTTTTGGGATTTGGAGGGTTTCCGCAAGCCTGCATAACAGCGACACTCAGCACTTGAACATGGGGAAGTGGGGGGAGGGGATAGCAATAGTAACGTATGAGAACTCCTGGGGTCCAAGCTTTCTGTTTCCAGTTTGCAGGGTGTTTAATGGATCATAAAGCATTTGTTCAGCATCACACACACTTCTGATAAAGTGCACAAATGTGCTTTAATCAACGAGGGAAGAATGCACACATTTCAAAGGTGTGTGCCATTGCTGATACCTTTAAGAAAATGATGAAAGGATGCATGGATTTTCACATGCAAAGAGCAAAACAAATCTCACAATCTTACAGACTTAAGTCCAAGCAAGTATCAAGATGGAATTCAGAAAACATCAACAAGGAAGGTGCTGCTGATTTGTAGATCCCTAAAGTGAGGCATAATTTTTGGCTTACAAAAACAGCTGCAAACAGACAGCCACTAACTTCAAAGATGCCTTCCTCCTCCTCTGGGGGTACACAAATCTCTCAAGAGATTTTGCTGAGACTGTCAGGTTTTTGAGATGGAGCTCATTCTGTCCAGTTTCGACAGAAGCTTCTGTTTATCAATCCATAGGAAAATCCATGGCCCTTTTTCATAATACACACAGTAATGCATGCATTTCACAGCGGCCATTGACCAAAGTGAGTTTGCGCCCATTTTGAAAACCGACCCAATTTTCAAATGGTCACATGTTGTCAACCGCATTTTGTTGGTTTTGCAGAAAAATCAAACTCCGAAATGTACAGATCTCCGACTGCAATTCATCTTGAAATCTGCATTTGGATCTGGGAAGTGCGCGCAACAAATTTCTCGTGCAAACCTGACCCTCCTCCCCGCCCTGGCTTTCCTTCTCTTGCTTTTCCTCTGTACGTGGTGGGCTTGGGTCATGGAAAGGGGGTGGGAAGGACACCCCATGCTTATGAATCCAAACTACTCAGCCACTTTTCAAGGCGCAAGCCTCCCAAAGAGGCCTCACAGACTGGTTTGCTGGGGATTCGCATAACGATGACAATAGTTCCATAAACTTTAAATCAAAACACGTTTTCCTCCCGTCTCGCTCACTACTCTCAGGCAGCACAGGGAGAGGGGTTCAGTGCCAGCTCCAGATCCAAAGGGCCCTTAGCCGGTTCCCGCCACTGAGCTGTCCCCTCATTGCGTCCACCTGCCTCCCACCACGGCCAGCAGCTGCTCTTGCTCCTCATTCTCTTCGTCATGATGGCTACCTTGGCAGGCAGATGGCCAAGGGGCCATAAGACATTCTGACAACTCCTGCTCCTGGTTCGTACCTTGACAATTGTCTGGGCCAGAGAGGAAGGAGAAATATCAGGAAGAACCTCCAGACTGGTAGAGCAATACAACAATGTAACCAGAGACCTGGGGAGGTGGCAGGCTCTCCCACACTGGAGGCATTCCAGGTGCAACAGGACAGCCGTCTGGAAGAGAGGGTTGAACTGGGAGTCGTGCCCTGGGCAGGGGGTTGGGCCCGGTGGCCCTCTGGCCCCTTCCAGCTCCGCTATTCTAGGATTCTACAAGAGCAAAGAGATTGATGCAGTGGGGGAAGATAGCGAAAGCGCCCCTCCTGGACTGTGGGCCCTTGGCCAGAGACCAGCCATGCCGTACCGAGGTGCCACCCTCTTCATTCTTGAAGCGGCCCTGCAAGTGTGATTAGGTTGAGAACATGTGACTGGCCTGAGGTCACCCGGTGCCTAACAATTCAAGCGGGAATTCCACAAGTCCTGGCCCAGTCCCAGCACGCTGGACAGTCCCAGAACAACCTGTTCCATGTGTCTGGCTGAGGATGAAGTCATGGAAGGTAGCCATGAACAAGTGGCTGCTCTTGCCCCCAGAACAAGGAAAGCCACCTTAGAACTTTCCGGAATGTCATTGTTAGTGCATAAATAATAATGAACCATGAAGGCAGGGTGGAGATACCCTTGGTCTGTATCCGGCCTCAAAGCAGTTTCTGCTCCTACACAGCCAGATGTATCCAGCCTTCACTGGTTCTCCACCTTTTCCAGGCACAGGTGCTGAGCCTGGGACTCAAGCAAAGATAGGTGGCAAACCCATGGCACGCGTGCTGCAGCGGGCACACAGAGCCCTCTCTGTCGGCACGCAAGCCAAGTCACCCCAGCATCGCCCCAGCAGCCGAGCATCGGATAACAGCGCACTCAGGGGCCATGCGCACACTCGGAAAGGAAACTGGCTGTGAGTTTTTTCTGAACTAAACCCTCAGGATTCAGGTTTTCTTGCAGTGTTGGCACTTTGTGATAAACAAGTGGATTTGGGGTTGCAGTGTGGGCACTTGGCCTCTACAAGGTTCGCCATCACTGGTCTGGGGTGTCCAGCTTCAGGGAGTCCAGTCCAGCTGAGGGTGCGGTCCTCCCTCACAGCCCCCATAAACATGAATGCTGCAACCAAGGTCAGTGGGACTAGCTTGTAGGTCTTCTGGGACCAAGCCCTCCTTAGCTTCTCTGCTACTTCAATTAATTTGGTGTCTTCAGCTTCCCCCACGCCAGCATTAATACAGCCATTAATTAGCACACTCTGTCTTGGACAGCATGGATTTTCTCTGCTCCCTCCCCGCACACACCTGTCTCAAAGGAACACTGTGCACTCACGCCGTTCTTTGAAGGCCGTTCTAATTTATCATTGGATTGGATCAAAAGCACAACTGAAATACCTGGCCCGTAAAAAATGAAAAGCTTACACACGTATGGGCACAAATATCCCCCCTTTGAATGTCATGCCACTACTTCCAAAGTATAGATTCTAAAGCATTTCTGTGTAAAATACTACGGCTTCCTCGGTAAATCCAGGCTTGCTCCCTGGTTTAATATGGCCAGTCATTCCTGGCCATACCTTTCTTTCTTTGGGCACATTGGCTGGCTAATAATTAGGATGGCAGGATGGTGCTCCTTCCACAGGAGAAGCTCTGGGAGGCAACACTCTCAAAAGAACACAGGCGAAAAGGGGGTCTCTTTTGCTGCCCAACATCTGGCTTTGGCCTTGTGAAGAAGCTCTATCAGGGAACATAATGCAGGGGTGGGGGTACACGGAGGTACCCCTCAAGCAGAACCCTCAACCCTGAAAAGTAAAAGAGAAACCCCCAGGTTGGACTGGGATCTCCTGGTTGAGTTAAATCCCCAGTCCGTTGGTTAATTAGGAAGAAGGCTTTTTTGTAGCCACATCATAGCTTAAAAGCCATCATTTATCTCAGGAGGTGTTGCTAGAGACATCTCACCTGCCGTCTGCACCTTTGCTGTTTAGCTCTACCCCTACCTGACCCTCACAGAACCCATTGCATCTAGGCCTAGCCTAATCTGGACTGTCATTTCTTGTTAAGAACCTGGTACTGAGATGATTATTGTACTTTTTGTCGACTGTGCATTTTTGTGTGCACAACTTACGAGTCTTCAGCATCAAGGAACCCAGAGTTTAGCCAGCTTGGGGTTGATTCCTGACTTCAGGGCATTCCTGGGGCCGGACTCCTGTAGGGCTCTCTCCATCTCAGGATCACTTAAGACTTACTTTGATCCTACTTCTAGACTCTTAGAATCAATAAACTAGAATGCACATAGAATTGGAGAATAGTCAAGTTGGGAGGGCTCCTTCTGGCCCACAAGTCCAACTCCTTGCTCAACACAGGACTCAAAGGTGAAGTATCCCTGACAGATGACCCCCCCCCCGTTGCATCTTGAATGCCTCCAGGGAGGGAGAGCCCTCCACCTCCCCAGGTCACTGCTTCCATTGCTGCACTGCTAGAACTTTTTCCTGGTATCTAGCTAGAACCTGGCTTTCAGTAACTGGAGTCCATTATTCCATGTTCCGGACCTGGTCCTCCTCTTTGTGACAATCTTGCAAGTACTTGTAGAGTGCTACCATCTCTCATAGAATCATAGAATAGTAGAGTTGGAAGGGGCCATAAAGGCCATCGAGCTCAACCCCCTGCTGTTGCAGGACAGCACATTACACCCTCCCACCCAGATGACTGTCCCTCTCCCCTCAGTCTTCGCAAGGCTAAACATGCCCAGGTTTTCCCATTTGTTTCCAATCCCTGGATCCTCTTGGTTACTCTGCTCTTCCTTCCAGTTTGCCTGCATCTTTCTTCAAGTGTGGTGCCCAGAACTGGACACAGCACTCCAACTGGGGCCTAACCAGTGCCAAATAGAGAGGAAACAGGACCTCACATGATTTGGAAGTATGGTTCTACACAGAGGTCCCACACAGTTTGCAGAATGGGCACCATCTCTGCGGGAGTGAGCAGAGAGTTTCTGGCCTTCTGGGATCCTCCTCTTTGCCTCAAGAGCAGGAAAAGGCTGCTGCCTCCACCCACGTCATCAGATGGCCTGCTATTTAATTCTTCCCTCTGTTGATGTCTCTGGCACTTTTACTTTCTCTGCTTTTCATCCCTGCCTATTTCCCGGGCAGCTGATAGAGACCAGAAGGGAATTGGGAATGCAAAGCATATTGTCCAGACGCAAGGCTGCTGCCATTACAAGAAATGTACATAGCTTGCCTCTTTCTCCAAGAACTTTACATAGCAAAGGCCAGCACCCCTTGAATATTTGGCATCCTGTTTTGCTGTCCATCTCCCTGCATGCTCGGGCCATCCTTGTATCAATGGACAGCACTTACATGGAGCAAGCACTCATTTCATGATTCCTGCAGTCTCTGAAGCATTGCAATCCTCCGTGTACGTGCATCACGGATCATATGCACATGAAGCCATATTTACGGCACTTTGTTTGTGCTAAACTGTAGTTTTCTTCCCCCCAAAGTGCAATTTTTATGGGGGGAAACGCTTTGCTGGGAATGAAGAGAAGAGTTGTGCTCCCTTGGCCAAGAAACACAGAGGGGACATGCAATCCTGTGGATGGATTCTTATTTACCTTTCGCCAAGTCCAAGAATGAATCACGGAGGGAGCTGAGCCACTTGGTTGGAACATCTTCTAACATCCGGAAGCATTCGTTTCATCTTGCATCACCAGGGATAAATAGGTGGTTCAGACCTTCTCCGGGCTTCTTTCCGTCTCAGAGTTGTTGTGTTTTTCCCAGAACAAGCTTTCCTCAATGAATGAAACTGAGACCCCCTTTATTCACAGTTTTTTTTAAAAAAGCATTATTTATTTTATTTCTCTGCCACCCGATAGCCAAAACTCTCTGGGTTGGTTGGCTGGGCTTGTGCAGAGCCTTTCTTTCTGCTCCAAAACGCACCAATCTTCGCCAGGCTGCTGGCAGGGACTCCATTCAGATAACAGGAACCAGGGCTGAGGGCTGCGAGTGGGCAGCATGTGGCTCATTGCTGAACCACACGGCATTGCTGAAAGTAGGGCTGCCGTGCCATCTCAAGAACCCATGAAGGGAATCCGTGATTTGTAGTTATGTTGTGCACTGTGGTTTGTCATCTCAGCTAGGTTCGGGCAAGAACACACAAGAACACACATTTCAACATGAATCCACCATTCAACAGCACGTTGGATGTGGGTTATTGTGTCGTCTGAACCCAATAATTAATTCCAGCAGGGAAGGGTAGTTTAGAAACCAAGGGTGGGAACCTGGTGATCTTGCAACTTCCACAAGACAAACTGCAGGGAACGTCCAAGAGGAAGCAACTGCGAATTCTTGCATCAAATTTCTGAATGGCAGGGGGATCAAATCCAGCTCCCATTTCTTATCTTATCTTATCTTATCTTATCTTATCTTATCTTATCTTATCTTATCTTATCCATTCACATGCCAAAACACAGGGCATCCATTTACAAGTTTGCAGTGGCTGATTTATATGTGTTGGTGCAAATGTAGAAATAATCACAACTTAAAAACAGAAATAAAAGACAGCTGGCACACCTCCCAGCACTGACCTTCCAAGCCAAGCTTTTCCAACCTGCAGATGATGGGCTATGGCTGCAACTGAGTGGCCTGAGTCCCCCAGTTGAAAAGACCACTGACGAGCAACTAGCACTGCTATGGAGCTTAGTGTGGTCCTAGGGGTGGGGGGGGGGTGCACCTCCAGGTAGGGCTGGAAAACCCCGGCTGGAAACCCTGAAAAGCGGTTGCTGCCAGTCTGTGTTAGCCATATAGGGCTAGATGCACTAAAGAACTGACTCGGCATGAGGGACATTCCGAGGTTTCTATATTTTGGAGCACGTCCCTTCTCACTGGCCATGCTGGCTGGGGGTGCTGGAAATGAAGTGCAAAACATCTAGAATGTTGTGAAAATGTTGGAGTAATTGTGGACAATAGGCTAAGCATGAGCCAAAAATGCGATGCAGCCACCAAAAGGGCAAATGCTATATTGGGATGCATTAACAGAAAAATAACTTCCAAATCATGGGAAGTAGTTGTTCCTCTATACTCCTCACTAGTCAGACATCATCTGGAATACTAAGTCCAGTTCTGGGCACCAATATTTAAGGAAGATGCAGGAAAATTGGAAAGGGTCCAGCGGAGGGCAACAGAGATGACCCAGGGTTTGGAAACACTGCCCTGTGAGGAGAGGATGAGAGAACTGATCATGTTCAGCCTTGAGAAGAGAAGGCTGAGGGGGGACATGATAGTCCTCTGTAAGGACCTCAAAGGCTGCCACAAAGAGGAAAGTCAAGATCTCTTCTCACTGATACCAGAGTGCAGGACACAGAATAATCAGCTCAAGTTGCAAC